GCTGTGCTGACCTTGACTCTGAGTGACCTCCAAGCCCCGCAGCCCAGCGGCCCCCCTGTTGGCTGGAGCACGTCTGCTGGCTTCCCATCTCTGCTCTTCCTGTCCAGAGCAGTCGGCAAGACTCTCCCTAATGAGCAGCCAGGGTGGCGCCCCCACCGACCTGTTCGCCCTGATGGCACCACACTGTCCGCCATGCTTTCACCAGTGCTGCAAGTTGCCAGGAACAGGTCAGGCCTTTTACTGGTGAACTTTCTGGATCTTCAATAGAACAACATCTTTACTCTTCACTCACTCCTAAGGAGATAGAGAAGAAACATCAGCACCATTTCTCTGTCAGTTTTATTTGAGGAGCAGGAGCCCTGAGCTAGGCCAGAGAAGTGGGGACCCCACAGGTCAGAAGTTGGGCCAGGAGACTGAGTCCCCAAATTCAGCATGTTTTATGGGGCCTTTCCTCAGGCTGCACATGTAGCTGCTCTGGCAGACACAGGCCACGTGCCCCATGCCAAGGGGTTTTATTTAGACTTGCAAACTAGGAAAAGGAGGGTGTCCACCTGTTCTGACCTCTTGAGTATACACAGCCATAGCTGGTCCTGGCCTTCAGGATGCCTGAGGCAAAGGGCTATGGCCACCCTCAGACCTGGAGGCCATGGGCAACGGCTTGCCCTGAGCTCTGGTCAATACCACATCAAGGTTCACTGCCCGATCAGGACCAGGCTACATGATCCTGCAGCTTCCCCACCCCCACTGCCTGTCTGGGGATGTCCCTGAGGATAGTGGCAAACTGTTCTTGGAAAATGGCAAATGCAGCCCAGGGAGCTGCCCACTACCTGGACTCTTTGGCCCAGCAGCCACTGTCTATGTCCAAGCGTCCAGGGCTGGAAGCACCAGCTCCTCAGTCTCATAACTGGAAGCGTTTTTCCTTCAGTTTTATGTGGAAATTTCCCAAACATGGCTCATTCAGGGCGGGTCTGTTATTCCAAGTAAGTCAACAACCATAGAAGGGATAGTTCCAGAAACAGGCAGGTACAACTCACGCTCCATGGCTTCCCCATGGGCATTTGCTAACAATCGTCACCCCAGAGCCACTGATGGGACTGTCAACACCAGCACCATCCTCAAGACAGCTGATGGGGCAGAACTGAGATTAAGTAGGCATTTGTACAGTGAAAGGGCCAGATACCTTTATCTCTCCACCTGCAGAAAGGCTCTGAGCACAGGTCGAAAGGCATAGGCACCTCATGAGTAGGGGTTTTAAACTGATAAGGGGCACCCAGTGAAGGCCATTGACTGTGTTGGGGTCAGCATTTGCTTGCAGTCATGAGCACGTCTCTTGGCAGTATGCTGTGCCATCCGCAGGCTCAAGGACAGCCTGGGCCGCGGGAAGCCACTCCGGCAGCGCACTGGGCATTTGTTTTTCTGGGGACGCCTCCCCGCCACGCTGAAGCAGAGAACAATGGTGTTCCTTATGCAGGCAGCACAGCTGCTAAAATTCAACAAGATCCAAGAAAAGAAAGCAGAAGCAGGTGGATATGCAGGCAACCCTTTCCTCCCCAGCAGTATCAGCAAGCGCTGATGGCCGCAGGGCCAGTGGCCAGCAAGACAGCAGCTCCAGTGAGATGGGTGCAGGGGGCGGTGGTGGGTAAAGGGGGTCCCTCCAGAGGAAGCTGGCACGCCTCTGCTGCAGGCGTCCACTCTCCCGTGCACCCCAGCAGGGTAAGGAATATTCCAATAGGTTCAGGAGGCAGGAGGGCGAAGTGACCCTCTTCCAGTACACACGTGTCCCTAAGGTGACAGCATGTCCCATCCCTTGCCTACACCATCACCTGCTTCCTGGCACTTAGGCAGGCTTTTCCATTTGCATATCACTTTGATCGGTGTCACTCAAACTACATATTAAAATTCCGTTCATCACATCTGTGCAAAGTGAGGTGACAATTAGAGAATGCAAGCCCGGCGCCTGGGGAAGGCTCTCCTCGCCCACGTGGGGTCTCGGAGTTTACAAGAGTTTCTCAGGAGTGAGCAAGGCAGGCTTTACGCTGTGGAGCTGAGCGAGGGCCCCACACCTGCAGAGGTGCATTGGCTCCTCTGGGCATCCCAGGTGGTGGTCTGACCTGGCTTGCTCTCTGCCCAGAACGCTGGAACCACCTGCTCTGTTCACAGGGCTGCGAGGGGCATGGGCCTCTGGGTTCCTGAGTTTTCTCACCACCAGGTAGAGGTGGCCTTTGAGGTGCTTTCTCAAAAAGTGGACATGTCTATAGATAAGTACGCCACTTAAAGCTGTGACTGCCACTTCCATGTTCTGCATATCCTTTGCTGATCAAATCACATATATTATAAAATGCACCCCGAATGAAGTGAGTCCAAATTTAATGAAAATTCTCTCTCAAGATAAAACTAGAGAAATTGTCACACACAGAGCAAAGTTCATTTTTTTCTTGCTGAGAGAAAGGGAGTTTGAAGCAAATTGGAAAGCACAGGCCTTCTAAAACCACAAACAAGGAAATCCTTGACCCCAAAAAATCAGTTGCCCTATGTCTGAAATCTCAGAAAACTAGTGTAGACTCTAAATTTTTCCCTCTTGAACATCCAAGGAAAGTCAGGTATGTGCCCAGTGCTGGGTGGAGTGCAGGTAGGTCCTGGAGGGGTTGGAATGAGTTGTGGGCATCTTGTTCATCCAGTCCCCAGAAGGGGCCACTGCCATCTCCCCTTCTCAGCCTTGGCTGGAGCGCCCTGCAGCTCAGTGCCTTCCTCTCCTGGCAGCTGAGCCACAGGACCCACAACAACTTGATGGTGCTGTGGCTCCAGCTACACGTACCTCACTCCCCAGCACTGTCCAGGCTTCTCTCTGCTTCTGGAATCATCTCCCAGTGCGGGCAGTGTGCATGCTGGTGGCCCCAGAGTTCCCAGCACAGAGCACATGGCTCTGCTGAGGCAATGAGCCCACAGAGATGCCAGGCTGAGGCTGCCCCTTTGAGTCAGTCTCATTGTTACACTGGTGGTCAGACATACCACTCTCAGGCACTACTTCACAGCAAATGACCCACCCTCTCCAAAAGAACTGATTTGGAACTGGGGTTTCAGAAATTCATAGAACATGTAAAAGCAAATGGGATCCCCCCCGCCCCTGCATCTTATGAAAAATTTCAAACTACAGGGAGTTTGAAACAATTGTACAGTGAAATCCATGAGCCCCCTGCCTGGACTCTGCAGTTTGTCTTTTGCTCTGGCGGCTTCATCATATGCCTGTTTGTTTCTCATCTTTATGTTCAGGGTACCTCAAAATAAGTTGCAGACATGAAGATCTGTCCATCAGCCCTTAAACTAGGGTTCAGAATTCATTTAAGTTTGAGGAAGAAACTTAAAAAGAATAAAAGAGTTGATTGGGACCGGGGGTTTCAGAAATTCATAGAACATGTAAAAGCAAATGGGATCCCCCCGCCCCTGCATCTTATGAAAAATTTCAAACTACAGGGAGTTTGAAACAATTGTACAGTGAAATCCATGAGCCCCCTGCCTGGACTCTGCAGTTTGTCTTTTGCTCTGGCGGCTTCATCATATGCCTGTTTGTTTCTCATCTTTATGTTCAGGGTACCTCAAAATAAGTTGCAGACATGAAGATCTGTCCATCAGCCCTTAAACTAGGGTTCAGAATTCATTTAAGTTTGAGGAAGAAACTTAAAAAGAATGAAACCCTAAGGTGCCTCTGGTGAGTCTTGGCGAGGACACCCCCATGACCCACTCCCCCACCAGACACAGACACAGTGTCACCCCAGAACCCCCAGGCAGCCTTGTTCAGATTTCTTTCCCCTGCATCAGTTTTCTTCCTTCTAGAACCTTCTATAAATGGAACCATAGAGTATGGTATGTACCCTTGCCTAATGAATCTTTCATTCAGCATAATGTTTTTGAGATTTGTCAAAATGAGATTAACAGGAACTTGTGCAATCTGAAAAATGAAGCACAGGTTCCTTTTGAAGGGCCCAGTTGACAACCACCTGAAACCTGTTCTGGGTTCCAGGGGTCCTGGGGATGCAGTGTGAACAGCAGTTTTCATAGTGGGGCCAACTCAGTGAGTCACCACCACTTCTGTGAGAACGAGAACTCAGATGCGTTGCACTTACCTGCGTTTCTCATACGGAGTTCCCAGCAGGAAGAATTAGCTGGCACCCCTCACGGCCAACCAATAGAGCTGCTAGCCATAACAGGCTGAACCCGTGCAGGCTAACAGGAGGTGATTTTATCTGGAGTGACCATCACCTGTACCTACTTCTTCCCCTGGCTTCTTCTCTCACCTGGGACAGACAGGCTGTATTATCTGCACCTGTCTCATTTCCCTGTGACTTCCTCCCTCACCTGGAACAGATGGGGGCTGTACTTGCCCTGTATCTCCCTATGACTTTCTCTTTTACCTGGGGCATATAGGGGCCATGTCACCTGTACCTGTCTTGTGTTCCCCCTTGGCTTCCTCACCTGGAGGTGGTGTCACCTATACCTGTGACTGCCTCTGGCTTCCTCCCTCACCTGGGGAAAATGGCTGTGTCACCTATACCTGTCCCACATCTCCCAGGGACTTCCTCATCCGGAGAAGATGGGGACCAGAGTCAGCTCTGCATTCATAACCTCCGTGCAGGTCATCTGGCCTCCTCCATACACATCGTCCATCCTGGTGAATGCTCCTCCAGGAAGAAAGCACAAAGCCATGATTTCAAATGCAGGCCTATTGAACGGAAAGAGGACTCCCCCGTGCCCACTGGCAGTGTGTGCTCAGCATGGGGCCCTTGCTACATCTGCAGCAACTGCAAAGGACAGGAGGCAGTGGTCTGAACACAGAGGGTGTGGCGCAAGCGCTGGGGCACAGTCCCACTGTGGGCTGAAACGCACTCCTCGGTTATTCCATCTATCCTATGTTCAGGACTGTTAAACTGCGTTTGGTGGGACTATTCCTGTAGGGTATGGCTAGCTGGTTAACGTGGCCATTTGTTCTCTTACTGTCATTTCAGGATGGGAGTCCCAGCTTCTGGAAACAGGGTTCCTGGGGATTTTCTTGTGCCCTCTTTGGACTCTGTCTCGACTGCCCAGGAAGACACCCCCTCCCCAGATCGTTCTGTGGGGCTTTCGGTGGCTGATTTTCAGAATCATGCTCGGAGCAGTAAGTAGAACTTTTATTTGTAATATTTGGGGGGAAATGTACTGAAAATGAGTCTCTCGCCTCTCTGTCCTCCTGTTGGCCAGACCAGGCCAGCTGTGCCCCTTCTGCTTCTTTCTGTGATGTCTAGTGGCCTGTTTCTGATCCCTGCAAACTCCACTGGCTCCCCTGGACCTTTTCATGGCCATGTCTGCCACGACTCAGTCCATTTCACATGGAGACTCATGGGGAAGAGCCTCTTAACGCCTCTCACCAGCCCTTCTGGTGGTCTCTGGACCACCACATCGCTTTCCACATCACTTTAAATCAGTAAAGAAGGACATGATGTAATTCTCACTCCTAGAAAGCCACGCCGGCTTCCTTTTTGTCTCTCTGCCTACTAGTCTTTTCTTTTGGACCTGTGCTCATTGGGTTTGGGGAGTACGTTTAGCTGTTCCTGTACTCTATGTGGCCTGTGGTGGCAGTCTGTGCTCTGCCTGGCCCGGGTGCTGCTCGCCTGTGTTCTCCTCCTCTTAGGCTCTTTGCCAGGCCCTGAAGACTAGGATTGCTCAGCTTCTATCCTCTACACAGCCTTTGAAAGTATATGTCCTTTTAATGTAACTAACCGCCGTTTTTCAGAAACATTATCTAAGCCTTAAAGTCAGGAGTGACATGGTTGCTTTTGACCTCCAACTGTAGACAGAATTTTGCAGCTTTCCTTCAGTCTCCCACTTCTCTCCCTTTGTAAGTAAGATCTTAATTTTTCATTAAAATTATTATAAAATACAAAATTCTCTTACATTGGAAACCTTATCACACAGATGTGCTAAGTATCTGTTTGCTTTAAGTTTTCCCTTGGGAGACAGGGCAGAGAACTTGCTCCTGACCCGCTTGAGAGCAAGTTGCTCCATCCATTGGGCCCGCCTTGCTCATGTCCCCTCCAGTCCAGATGGTCCTCGGTCTCCCAGCCCCATGATCCAACAGTGTGGCTGTCTGATGTGCACCTGACCAGCCTCAGGTGCTGCATCCTTGGCAGGAGGCCCTGCACTCTCTTCCGGGGGCAGCATCCAGCTGTTCTGTCACGGACTTAGGCGGGCCTGGCTGGTCCTCTCTCAAAATCACTTTTTCCACAGTGTAGTTAATATTTCGCAGTGAGGTCCTGTAAAGTCATGCGGCTGTCCCATTTCTCTTCACATACTCAGTTTATTCGTGTATCTTTGTGGGCGTACACTCCCACATGGCCTTTGTTCAGCATGGCATTTTCACACCTCTGTGTGGCTGTTGATAATGCGATGCCCTCATTCCTTGTATCTGTCCTGTGCTCCGTCACCTTTGCATCATGACCGGTTGTTATATGCCCTCAAGTCGGCTCCGACTCCTGGTGACCATGCGACTGAGTGATATCCAGTGTCCTGTCCTCAACAGCCCTGCTCAGCTCCTGTAGAGTCATACCGTTGGCTTCTTTTAGGGTGTCAGTCTACTTATATTTGGTCTTCCACTTTCCCTGCTGTCTTCTGTTTTTCTCAGCATTATTGTCTTTTCCAAAGAACCCTGCCTTCCTTCTCATGATTTGCCCACAGTAGGACAGCTTCAGTTTTGTCATTTTTGCCTCCAGTGATGTTTCAGGCTTAATTTGCTCTAGGACTCACTTGTTCATCTCTCTGGCGGTCCACGGGTATCTGTAAAGCTCTCTTCCAACACCATTTTTCAAATGAATTTGTCTTTTCCTGTCAGCCTATTTTACTATCCAATTTTCACATCTGTACATAAGAATTGATCAGTACTCGTTCTTAACTAGCAGCTGACGAGCATCTGCTCTGTGAAGGGATGACGTGCCGGCCTTTGCGCGGGACTGCAGTCCTGAGGGCTCGCACCTTCCCACTTCCTCCTGTTACTGTCAGGCGCCCACTCTCCTGTGCTTCATACTTGCTCTTGGATATTGAAGCATCGTTCATTCTGGCACAATGACCATCTGTGGTTTGGTTAACTGCTGTGTCTGTGGCCAGGTGGCCTTGGAGCTCTGGGGACACTGGAAGCAGCTGGATGCAGAGGGACAAGTGCTGCCCGGGGCAACAGGCCTAGGGTCAGAGCCCGGCATGACCGGCCATGTCCACTTGCGTGGATGGTGAACAGGCCACAGGGTTGTGGGAGTGCTGGCCAGAGGGGCAGACAGGGCTGTGTGGAAGCCTAGAGAGCACCCCATTTGGGGCTGGTGTGGTTGGCAAAGTTCTCGACCTGGGCGGGTGTGAATAGCTACAGATACTGGGAAATGCTGTGTTGAAGTTATTGTGTGTTCAGATTCAACAATAAAGTGTGACGCTTCTACATTCGTTTTCCCATTTAATTAGAAAGATAGTTGTTTTTGCGGTTCCTTTTAATGAAATGTTGAAATTGTGAGTTGTCTATAGTCACCATACACATATTCTTCTCAGGCTGTGGTTCCTTGTCCATCTAGGACTTGATTTTGGATTCTCTCCCAAGCTAGCTTTAAAAAGTATAAAAATGTATGAAATGTTGCAAAGGACTTTATTGGGGACCCCACTGAGATGACAGCTTCATTAGGTGGGACATATAAAGCAAGGAGCCCCCGGCGAAGGGGCAACCCGGGCACGGAAGCTCTGGGTGGCAGAGCTGTCAGGCTGTTTTGTGCAAGGTTTGTGATGCCAAGAGTTGAACAAACCCCCACCATGCCTGACTGAGTGCAGGGGATCGTTAGCACATTCTAAAGCGCCTTTTATGGCATTTTGATTGACTGTTAGCACCAGCTGGATAAGAAATTATCAGGTGCACTAAAAGGTATAATTACTTGATTTAGTCTGTATGTTGGATATTATTAATCTTCCTTCAGTGGAAAGCAGAAAGTAGAGTTGACTTGACAAAAAAGTGCTAGCAGCAAAATGTCCATTCCTCTATGAGCTGAGAGAACTCACAACAGATCTGGTGATACTAAAGCGACTGTGGGTGAAGCCCCCCAGTCTAGCCCCTGATCTTCTGTTTGTGGGTGAGAACCAGTGCCACAGAATCAGCTTAGGGGGTGACTGTCCTGAATATTCAGAGACCGCTGTCGTTTTGTCATTCGTCAGTGGTTCAGATGCCCTGAGAGACAGATGGGCTCTTGTAGAGCTCAGCCTCAGAGGGGACCGTGCACTGTGCAGGTAAAGGTGCCCAAGCAGAAAGAAAGGAAGCCGCGTAGCCTCTGTGCCCGCAGAAGGCCTGCTCTTCCCAGGTGCCTGAGATGGAGTCACCCTGGTCCCCGTTCTTAGGGCTTCTGTGTCCTGAGCTATTCTGACCTCCTACAATGCTGAGGTGAGAGGTATTAATGGATAGGTGGCCCAGGCTACCCTGCTGTCTGTAAACAGCTGAACACTGAACACACTTCATGATGCAGCTGGTCTCACGTCGGACAATAGACAGTGTGAGATGGGTCCAGAGGAGAACACATGAGGTGAGCCCCTCAACCGCCTGGCTCTCTATGGGGAGACGGGGGGCAGGCAGAGGTGGGAGACCTTGCCAGCTGTTGGAAGTGGAGGATGATGGAATGCTATAAGGCTTCCCTCAGTTCCTAATGCTTCTGGAATTCCAGGGCAAAGTACACAGAGGGGCACAAAAGGAGCTCCAAGGACACAGCATCATCTCTGTAGCAGTCTTACAAAAATGCATTGCTCTAGGGGTGGCTCCACAGTGTAGTGGTTAGCACGTCTGCTTTACACGCAGAAGGTCCTGGGTTCGCACCCCGGGTGGAGCCATGGACCATACCCCAGGTGCGGGTGTACCAGGCTGCGAGCGTGTGGGAGGAGACGCCCCACCTTCAGAGATCCGGTTCTTAAGGGGAAACAGCAACATCCATAGGTCAGGAGCGGAAGTAGGGGGAGGGGAATTAAAGGGAAAAAAATGCATTTCTCTAACCTAATTGTGAGAAAACATTAGACAAACTGCAACTGAGGGACATTCTTCAAAATTACTGACCGGAATTCTCAAGTGTCAAAGTCATGAGATTTAATTAAAGACTGAGGAATTGTCAGACTCAGGGAACATAACAGTTAATGTGGCACCCTGGAGTGGCACCCTGGATTGTCCCTGATATAGAAAAAGGACATTAGTGGGAAAACTGGTGAAATCCAAGTAAGGTTTGTAGTTCAGTAACATTGAATTAATAGCGACAGCTATACAGGAACTCCAGACTATTTTTACAGCTTTCCTGAAATCTTAAGAATTTTTCAAAGTGAAAAGTTAAAGAAGGGCTCAACAAAGAAACAATGGCTTCTGCTGGCACTTCTGTCTGGGAGAAAGTGTCCCCACCAGCTCTTGCCCTGAAGCCAGACAACTCAGTTCCTCCCGTATATTCCTGGCACCTTTCAAGCTGCTGCCCCAGCACTGGAGTTCAGAGTGAATGAATCCATCAGCGAATGTGTTTCAGTTCCAGGCCCATTGAAGCAGGGCAACCCCACTGGCCACGGGACCAGGCCACGGGACCAGACAGGATGGCACCCGTGGCTGATTCCAGAATCAGACACAATGATCAATTACCTCATCCCCCTCCAACCATCCAGTCAGTTACCATCCCCCCCAATCATCCAATCAGTAGCACTCATGACCCCAACTCCCTTAGTTTCCATGACTACTGATTTTCCCCTGTATAATCTGTACTCCCGAGACACGTGGGGAACCCTTTTGTTGAGAGCAGTAGCTCGCCTGTGTCTTCAGGACTTGCAACTCTCTAAATAAACCTTACTTTCTTTGCTGAAAAAAAAGTTCAAGAGAAATAGTATGAGCAACTTTTATTTACACAAAGCAGGCAATTTGAAGAAATGGTTAAATTCCTTCAGAGATATAGATTACCAACTGACAGAGGAAGAGGCAGGAATCTACGTAATTCTATCAGCTGAGATCATTAACAACACAAATAAAAAGCACCTTCCCACTAAGAAAACTTGTGGCCCAGAAACCTTTCCTGATGAGTTCTATAAAATATTTAAGGAAGAAACTATATGAATCTCATACACACTCATTCAGAAAACAGGGGA